AGTTAGGTGTGTGCAGAAGGCAGCGGAACGATAATTCTTTCTCATCATTTATGTTTCTATCTCTCTCTCCCTCTCCTTTCCCGTTTGAAATGAATAAAAATAAAAAATAAAAGACCGTATTCTTTTATGTATTGATGTTTACTTTGAATTTATATTAGTTCACACAAACACTCCATCCATGCTTTTGTTCCAGCCCTCCGGTTCAGTTTAAGAACCCCTTGTGGCCCTCGAGTCAAAAAGTTTGCCCACCCCTGCCCTAGCTGCTAAGAAGGATAGGAAACATAGTATTTATATAAGCAACCACATTCTGTTTTAAAATCTATTACTATGGATGAAAGGGGAAATAAATATTGGAAAAACAAGAAGTGTCTGCCATATGTACTGTTGCATAAGTGCCGCAACCTGCATGGCAGGTTCAGGATCTATAGGAAGGGCCAATGCACAAATAAAAATGCTATACAAGAAATATGAATTTTGGAAGACGTGGGGGTCCAGGTGGAAACCTCTTTCTTGAAGAAGCACTTTTGAAGAGGCACACCGAGACTGGGTCCTATCTGCTTTTATTTACTTTGAATACACATTTTGCCTTTAGTAATGCATACAAGCAGATCAAAGATAAAGTTTGGTAAACAATGTAAGGATTATCAGGTCAGGAAATTGCCTCGAGCCATTGCAATCACAGCAGGGCAGTCTTGTGCTGCTATTCAGCCCTGCTGAATATCAAAGTCCATTGGTTTCCCAATGTCTCTGTTGCACTTTATGTTAATTGCTGTTTACTTTAGCCTCCAGCATTTCCCCCTTTTTGTTTTCTTAGTAAATCTTGAAAAGTGTATGCTGTCTGTAGGGTTCAAGTTTTTTAAAGACTCTTCATTCTGCATTTCCAGACTAGAAATAAATATATAAGACCAAGAATGAGACAACAATAGTGGTTATGCTAAGAGGAAAATGTAGGGAGATCCAATGAAAAGGATTGAATTCTTTCATGTCCTTTTTAAATTGTTATCAGGCATTTAAGGGATTAGTATGTAAGTTTGCCTGGAGCTTCTGCTATTTGGGGCTGGGATAGTCATCTGTCTGTGGCTGCAGGTA